TAGTAATAAACATTTATTTACTCTCATTATTTGTTATGGTCATTATTAATTTGAGAAAACAGTGTTTTTTCTTTAATTCATAAGTTATATAAATCTATCGATTCCAACTTCTATAAGAATAAAAATCGAAAATTGATAAGATTCCTGACTGCTTACACAAGCATCCCTACTTAATTTGAAATGAATCAAACTAATCTAAATTATTTAGACACTGTAAACGTGATTTATTAAAAAATATATTTCAATGCACACAATTTACTATAGTTATAGAAAAAGGTAGAAAAATGTATGAAATACCTTACTGGGTAGACAGATACCTCAAATCCATTGAGCTCTTAGGAAACATTTATGTAAATTGGTTATGTAAAGTGAATGTTCTCAAAAATAATTTTCAGTATATAGCTAGTTGCAGTATTGTGTTCAATGGAAGCCATATTGTATTTGTCTGTATTCAGTATCGATGATAAACAAATCGATCGACTGAAAGGTCATACAATAGCTATACAAGGTCCAATGCCAGTAGGAAGCACATTACGTATATTGTCTTACTTTATTGCTACTAGCACGTGTGTAAGCATTTTAGACTATTATTTTGGTGAAAAAAATATAAACTACTATTTTGATAAAAATCTAATTTTGTTTTTTTTTTATTATTAGAAATGGGTATTTTCATTGAAATTAGAAAGAGATAGTAATTAATGAATAATGTAGAAAATGTATGTTTTTTCCAGAAACAAACATTGTACAGTCAGCTTCAAAAACTTGTATACATTTGTTTCCATAATGTATATGTATCCGATCGTATGCTTTCGATGTATTTTTCAAACTAAAAGTGTATACAAGTTCCTAGTTAATGAATACATATTGTAGTTGACTGTACAAATATCTGTTTTTTTTGAAACAATAAGAGAAATATGACTCACATATGTATTGTAACTTTAGTTAATTTAAATTCCTTAATCCTATTAGTTTTGGATCATATAAAAATAGTCTCAGTACAACAGACATAATTGTAGAACTTTTGCACTCACGGTTAGAGCACACGAACACCTTTGACTAAGCCATCGCACAACTGTTTAGTCGCGCTTTGATTCTTAGCTTACATGGAGGTGCGCTACTCGATTTTAGTTGTGCAACTAAACAGTTAAATGCATTAAAAAACAATCAGGTATGCGATTGTTTAGTTAAAAATGTGCGCTCGCTCTTACAATACATATTGCATCTCTTTCATTCGCTACAAAACAGAAAGAGCAATATGTACGTAAATCTCTTTATAATCAAATTCAATAGAAATAAGAAATTATCCATACATATTTAACTGACATCTATAAATTGTCATGTCTGTTTTTAAATAAGTCTGTAATCACAGACTTATAAATAATTTAGATAGGATTCGTTTTATTTAGATTTCTATTGAATTCGATTATACATGCAAGTACATTATTATAAAAATCGATTAACAATGTAAAAATGCAATTTCCACTATGTTTTCAACTACATAATGTATATCGTATTCAATCAATTGCACAGACATACAGGGTGACATTTAACTACACATTAGTAAATACCTATTTCTTACACAATTTTATTATTTCTGTTTTCAAATGAGGAAATAGAAAAATCATACTATATATATACGCACAAAATGTATTTTTTCATACATTTACAATTCGTCTAAAAATTTAAATTTATATCATGCAGTAATTTATCTGAGAAACAAGTCCTGTGTGTTTCTATACTAGCTGTTCGCGAGCGGCTTCACCCGAATGAAATTATAAATATATTGTTTGCATTTGTCAAATTCTCAATTGCAAATGTCAATACCAATTACCTTATTATAGCAATCTTGCTTTTTTGATGTTGGCAGCAACTTATGGTCTCTTTCCCACATTGGGGTTTTTATCCAAAATGTTTACCCCCTAAGTTTAATTGGATGAAAATATACGGCCTAAAGCGTGATGCAAGTGTAGGGGTTTTTATTAAAGAAAGAATTATTCAAAAATATGCTGTATTTGCTGAGATCTTAGGCATCAAAGAAGTGTGTGTTTACGCTTTATTATAATAGTATAGGTTAAAAATATCTTTAAGATGAAATAAACTTACACAGTTATAAATTTCACATTATTTCGTCGATTTTTTTTTATTAATGCGTAATTAAATATTACCCTTAGTTGTGTTACATACTAAAAATGCTTTAATTCCCGGATTAGAATAAAAAAGGTGTTTTCTAATGACTCTTACAATCTATAGAATACGCTGTTCATTCAGTCAGCAACTATATTTCAGATGTCGGAATCACAACGCAATCGCAACCACACTGAGGCATATTGCTTTCTCATTTCATTCATAGAGAACGAAATAGGACAATGTTGCCAGTTATTTTCACACTACTTCTTACCCAATACGTGGAAAACATTGGTAATATTAACAAATTTTACAGTTTTTAAATTTTATATTAATTTGAAACTTTTCACCTCATATATAATATTTAATAATCAAATTTTACGAAGCCCGTGTAGTGTGAACAGTACTTTATACCGCGACTAAAGATGCTTGATACTGGAATTTTTTACCCAAATTGTGGGAGATTTTAAAATTCTATTCTTAACCTTTCCAAAAATGTGTTCAAGAATCATAAGTACAAATGATAAAACATATTTTTAGTGGCAATTTTTTTTAAACTTCCCTATGCATTGCAATCCCGGCATCTAACAAACAAAATTGGACATTACAAACCATATATAATGTACAAAACATTCAACGATTGACAATTTCATTTGATGTCTTACCAAATGTCCAATCCTGTTTGACCTCTGGATGGCTTTAATCCTTCCAGTCCTTCTTGATGTCGAAGCTCCACTCCCACTGGAGGTGTATGTTCTTGTCGTCGTCGGTGAAGAGGCTGTTGACGGTGTAGGAGCCGCGCGCCATCAGGCCGGAGGGCGCGTCCTCGGGCGGCGTCGTGTACGACTGCACCTCCACCTTGGGGGGATACGACCCAACCATGTGGGTCATTTTATCCACTGGAATGCATAACTTTATATGTTTATGAACGAAACGTTTATGTCTAATTTTTTGAAGACCATGCTTAAACTAAAAAAAATTACGACTGTCAGAATCACAACTGTTTAGTCGCGCTTTGATTTCTAATAGCTTCTATGGAGGTGCACTACTCGATGTTTACTTGTGCAACTAAACAGTTGAATTGACTGCGAATAAATCGACAATCGCACAACTGTTTTGCGATAGTTTGGTCAAAGGAGTACGTACGCGCGTAGCGCTTAAAAAATGTTAATCAAGGAATAGACAATGATACAAGACAATGATAAGTGTAGAGAAAAAATTAAATATAAAATATCAAGATGATCTATCCTACTTCAAACCATGAGACTTGTGATTATGTCTACAAAATGCAATGGTTTTCGATGTCCAAATGGTCTTGAGTCTTTGCTATGGGACAATAGACTTTAGTGGCATAGCAGAAGTGACGACATCGCCGAATATCGTACACCTCATTGCATACAATACACATGACATTTACGTGCGTAGGCGCATATTTATAGCGTTGTTAATAGCGCAACGAGATGTGAATATAAATGTTTACGTACCGGGCGCTGTCCAATAGATGCGTGTAAGAAATAATTCAAGTACTCTTATTAATAATAAGTCCCATGACACAAAAACCTAGCTATTAATTCAAGACCCCTACTAACTACCCCTTAGATTACTCTATACTTAATATTATAAAGGGGAAAGATTTGTATTTTTGTATGTATTGAAATAACTCAAAAACTATTAAACGATTTAAAAATTCTTTCATCATTAAAAAGCTACGTTATCACTGAGTAACATAGGCTATGTTTTTTACTTTTTTGACCGACTTCCCAAAAGGAGGTACTCAATTCGTCTGTATATATTTTTTTTATGTGTTTACGGCATAACTCCGCCGCTAGTGGACCGATTTTGATTATTCTTTTTTTCATCAAAGTAATAATAATTGTACAATATAGGCATAACAGCTACAATAAGGGAGGTTTACTATTTTCAAGGAATTATTTCGTTTCTTTTTAGTGTACTGTTTTTTTGAGAATATTCTGTTTTTGGTGTATTTTGTTTGGAAATCGGTTTTGTTTTTTAAATAATGTTTTTTATATTTCACGTGGACGATATCGCAAGCATTAGCGAGTATTACTTTAGTTTATACTAAACCAGCTGTTGCCTGCAACTTTGTTTACGGGAAATAAAATAAAAAAAATAAAAACATTGCCTGTGTTACTCACAGATAAAGTAGTTTTTAATGGTGAAAGAATTTTGAAATCGGCCCACTAGTTTTTTAATTATTTCAATACATACAAAAATACAAATCTTTCTTCTTTATAATAATAGTATAGATAATGCTTGGATCATTGGATTCCGCAGGTGGAGTTCTTTTCTTTTTAATTTGGTATGTTTTATTTTTTTTTATATGAAAAATCATGTAAAATATATTATATGTAAAAATAAGAAATTAAAGATATATGTATAGATAAATTATGCGCAGCTTGTAAAGTAATATAACAAATAAGTGATATTGTACACTAACCGGGCACTCCCATACGATATGTCTTCTGCACGTACTTCAGACCGTGTACGATCTCCCTTTGCACGATAAAATCAATCCTTATCCGGTACTGCACACCCTCTTTGATCACAAACACCTGAAAATTTAAAACAAAAACATAAATTATTTCCTCATAAGTTTTCCTAATGTATCAGGGGTATCTAAACTCCACACAGTTGGAAACTTTAAAATTCTATTTAAAAATAAAACCTTCCAACAAGCGGCAATTATACTAGTAGCCAGGGAAGGGAAAAAGGACCCGTGATAATAAGTGGTATTCTATTCTATTTCTTGTTTATGCCTATCCCACAGCGGATTGGGCCAGTATAAAACAAGTGGTATAGAACGGCTTGTCACCTAAAAAGAGGGGAACAAGACATATTTCCTTTCCCATCACCGTTTTTCCTTTTAACTTATTTTTAATCAATACGCAATAAATTAGAGTGTCTATTTGTAATACTAAAAGAAAAAATCCATATTTCGAAAAGTTGATGTATTTGTGTTGCTGATAACGAAAATTGCATTTAAATTTTCTGTCTATCTGTCTGTCCGCAGGCCGCGTGTGCGCGCGTTGTGATAGACGGGTATATTATAACTACTTTTTATATCTTAATAATGCGTGTACGAAGTCGCGGGCAACGGCTAGTTGTAAATAAAAATACACTATACTAAAATACATGACATGAAAATAGCAACATGTAATTTATTATACGTTTAATCATAGTTACATTCAGAGGTACGGGAATAATCAAATTGACAGAAACGAGGCGTTTGCCATTCAGTAATTATTTATACCGGGTGTTAGTCACGGCTCTGTACAGGGTGTTATAAAAATCCGAAGCCTTTGTAGTGTAAAATACGGAAACTGAGAATTCTTATCGCGAAGCCGTGAGATGGCTTAATGGATAACAAGGTTTTATACACACATTTACTATTAGATTTGAACACGACAGTAACAAGAACATTTCTCATTTCTTTTGTATACACTTGCTTACACTAGTATACACTTGTATACACTTGCTTACACTTGCTTACACTAGTATACACTTGCTTACACTTGCTTACACTAGTATACACTTGTATAAGAGGAGACATCCGCAGTATCAAAGGAACTTCAGATGCATTTCCATCCTTTGGGAAACGGTACGGCTTTTTGAAGGACCCTAAGTCGTACTGGTTTGCGAATCTCGTTGTTTTGGTAACAATTTGTTTAAATTCAAGTGTTTAAGTCAGTGACATTTTATTGTAAAATATATCAGAAGACATATTGTTTACATGAGAATAACATTTATTAGCCAACTGTTAATCTATACTATTATAATAAAGCGTAAACATACACTTCTTTGTTGTCTAAGATGTCAGCAATTACAGCATATTTTCGAATAACTCTTTTTTTAATAAAAAGCCCTACACTTACGCCACGCTTTAGGCTATATATTTTCACGCAGTTAAACTTAGGGGTAAATATTTTGGATGAAACCCTAATGTGGGAAAGAGACCATAAGTTGTTGTCAACATCAAGGAAGCAAGGTTGACATGGTTTGACATCATGTCATGTCATTTTGACATTTGCAATTGATAACTTGACAAATGTGAACCATAAAATATTTTTTTTTATAATTCTATGCGGATGAATTCGCATGGGAAATGCTAGTGAGATATAAAGATTGTAAGACAATTGCATTTTTCAGGAAATGTTTTATTCATAGTGCCAGACAACGTTAGGATAAGGTGCGGTTAAGAGGCCGCCCAGGGCGCCTAACATAAGCGTTACCAGTCTGCTAAAAAAAAAATAGAAAAAAAAAACTCATATTAAAAAGAACCTTAGTGTAACAATAAACTGTGTTAATTATGTACGGTTACTATTAAATGTTTGTGAGTACAGAAAAAGTTACGGCTGCAATGTACGGTGTTGTAATAGATAATAGAAGGAAAAAACACTATAGGGCAAATAGAGCAAAATAATAGATTATTCGTGTATTTAAAGCAGTGATTTTCAACAGTGGTAGAGCTCGCTTTAACATCTGCGCACTGCAGGGCCGGCTTGCCCCTGGTAATACCACGACAAGCAATTTTGCGTTTCGTCTGATGAGTGTGGCGCCGGAGGCCTAATTTTAGTCCCTTTCCACCCTGTTCTTAAGAGGAAAGATTGGAAGAAAAAATGGATTTCACGGTGGAGGAGACGCATAAGAGGGGAAAATGTCCTTTTTATGTGCGTCTCCTCCGTCAATTAAGGTAGGCAACGCATCTGCAATTGCGGATGTTTATGGGCAGCGGTCTTTCCCCATTTCGGTGGATTCAGGTGGCCGCTTGCTTGTTTGCCACCTTATGTTATAAAAAAAAACTATGGGTCGCATTCCGTCTAATATTCGATTATAAATAGAAATATAATTCTAACTAGCAATGTGAATTCAAAAACATAAAGAATGTATTTTAGAATTGCATCACGAAACGGTTAATGTTTTTGTCTTCATATATGTTAGGAAAAGAACATCCTGTATGTTGGTGTTGGAGAAAAGCCAAGCGCAGTAAATTCGCATCGCATCTCGGTAATAATGAATGACGTTGGTTAAAGTGACGTATGGTTCAGCACCTGTCAGGGGATCACCAGACCTGTCTACTACGACAATTAGACGATAACGCCAATTAACAGACTATTAATAAAAATATTTATTAGTACTTTAAAAAAGCGTAAATTAAATTGTTGAAGCAAAAATAAACTTCACCGTTTAAGAAAAGTGTATCAGGTAGTAACTATTAGACAATACAATTTTGTGTTTTATCTAAAGATCTGTCTAAAACCCGCTACACACGCTCAGTTTTATCTGAACTATCAGATCATTCGGATAAATCTAACATGTAGCCAAAACTGAGAACTGAACAGTTCCCAGTTTTATTTGATTTACTATTTTTTTATTTATTTTTTTTTATAACATAAGGTGGCAAAGGAGCATGCATCCACCTGAATCCGCCAAAATGGCGAAGCGACCGCTGCCCATAGACATCCGCAATTGCAGATGCGTTGCCTACCCTTATCCGACGGAGGAGACGCACATAAAGAGGATATTTCCCCTTCCTATGCATCTCCTCCATCGTCAAATCCACTTCCCCTTCCCATCCGCTCATAAGAAAAGGGTGGTAAGGAGAAAGGGACTTAAATTAGGCCTCCGGCACCACACTCATCAGACGAAACACGGCATTGGTTCCATTTGACGCCTGTCTTCTATATGGTCATGGTATTGGTGGGGGCGAGCCGGCCCTGCAGTGCTAAGGTGTGAAAGCGGGCTCTAACATCATTTTTTTTAATCCAACCAGTTTTTCTAGAGTGGTTTAATTTTTTTTGTAAACTTTTAGTAAATAAAAAAATTCTATATTACGTATTGGTATTACACACCTGTTTCTTGAGGTCTGTGAGGTCCCCAGTGAGATCCAGCTCGAGGTCATCTCGATCCGTCACACACAACGCTAGCTTCTTCACAATCACCTTCCGAGGGTCATTAGGCTCTGTTGATGAATAATTAATTAAGTTATTGTATTTCTTCTCTATATTTTTGTTAATTTGTAGAATAATTATTAACAATCAACTCATTATAAAAATCAATGATTTTCATAAATCTATGTATCTAACATTTAAAAATCATACTAATATAAATATGAAAAGTTGGATGGATGTTTGTTATCTCCAAAACTGTTTGACAGCACTCTATGGAATTTTACACAGACATAAAACATAGTCTCAACCAATATCATCATCATCATCATCACCAGCTCACTACACGTCCCCACCGAGGGGCTCGGAGCCTACCCTAATAAGGGGTGACTAGGCCATAGTCAACCACGCTGGCCAGGTGCGGGTTGGTTGACTTCACATATATCTTTGAATTTCTTCGCCGATATGTGCAGGTTGCATCACGATGTTTTCCTTCACCGTAAGAACGTCGGGTAAATTATGTACATATGAAAATTCGTAAAACCGAAAATCACATTGGTACATTGCGGGATTCGAACCCAAGACCTGTAGATTACAAGTCAAGTGTTCAAACCACTGAGCCACGCGACGCTCTCTCAACCAATATATTAATTATAAATTGTATTTTTGTATGTATTGAAATAACTCCAAAACTACTGGGGGGGATTTCAAAAATTGCTTCACCAATAAACAGTTATGTTATCATCGAGTAACATAAGTTACATTCATTACAGTTTTTATTACCATGCCCATGAAGATGTTAACAGCTAGTTGACTATTTCTATACAATATATTTATATTTTGACAGTCAGATTAAATAGTGAAACTTGACTACACAAGTTCAAATAAAAAACGAGTTGATGCAACACTGATAACTTTTATCAAATAACTAGAGATAATGCCTGATAATAAATCCGGGAAATGTATAATATCAATATTTTGGAAGCACATGCAAGTTTAGTAAACAAAATAATGCAATAACTACAAAATGATACTTGAAAATTTATAGAAACTTTACTTGTCTTGTCTTATCTTACTAATGTTATAAATGTGAAAGTTTGGATGAAAAGATATTTGTTAGTTTGTACCCTAAACAGTGATCTCAATAACATTTGGCACAGATATAGGGCATTTTGGAAGAATACATAAGATGTATGCTTTTGTTTTTTTTACTAGACGCGGACAAAGTTGTATGCAATATCTAGTTTATCAATAAACCAAGTTGTTTTAATTTGTGAATTTTATTAGTAAATTATGAATTTTCTAAATTCATGTTAAAAATTACCTACAATGAATAATTTTAGGTAGTAATAATTTATAATCATAGGAAATGGTCTATGTATTACATAATGTATTTACATGCCCACGATACAGGCATTGCCTAGTGTGGGCATCACTAGATCCATCGCATTTTATCCACTATTTGTATTTATCTTTTAATTGGTTATAACTTTTATTGTTAATCTGTTATTTTTCAATAAATTATTTCATTTATTATTTCAATTATTTTCAATTATTCCTAGAATTAGTCAGATAAATTGCACTGTCTGTGCAGATGAAATGACTCCAGTAAATAGAGCAAAGTAGGTTAAGGGTGAGTCTATAAATGGAACTAACACTTTAAAAATAGAACACTCCTGTTGATTTTAATGGAATAATGTTTTATGTAGAAATGGCTTATGCTCATTACTCTACCCGCATGGAATTAAAAAAACAAAAGTAGCTTATGTGTTATTCCAGAATGCTCTACATCTATGCCAAATTTTACTAAGATCTGTTCAGTCATTATGCAGCAAACTCTGACAAACATCCATCCGTCTAAAATTTCACATTAAGAAATAATTTTTATATGATTAAGTGAAAAAACTTCTGTTTAAATTATTAAAGTTTTATTATTTTTCACTAATTATTGGTTCATCAGTTTAATAGTTTCGGAGAAAATCAAATGCAAAGTAAAAATCAAATCTTTCCTGTTTATAATATTAATAAAAATATACTATTATCTGTTATTATTAATGAATTCCCAAGTAGGGTTGGTAAAAGGCATGCGGCCGGCCGCAAAAAATAGTGCCTAATCCTAAAGTAGGTCTTTGATACCCGGTGGAAGACAAAAACCTGTTGCACTGACCCTACGGGAGTGGGATAAGGAGGGTAATGATGGTTTTTCTATTTGTTTTTTAACATTACTTACTATACATCCCCACTGAGAGACTAAAAACTTACCTAAACTTAGGGGGCACTATGCTTTCATTAACCACAGTTTGGTTGACCAACTGCAGATGTTCTTTTCTACAAAAAACTTACCAACAATAACAGTTCCTGCTTGCGCCTGTCCTAATAATGCTTCTTTATATTTCCTCAAGGATTCATCTTCTTGGTCTGCTGCTAAAATTTCCTCAATCGTCTTTTCCGGTGGTGGCCTATACGAGGACTTGATTTCTTCTTCTTCCGTTTCCTCGCCTTCAGGAGTGCGAGCTACTTCGGGTTCACCAGACATTTTAGGATGTCTACAAAAAGAATAAAACACCAGTTAGAGAAATAATGATTAAAAAAAAAGCAATATATGTTACCTCTAGTATAACTTTTTAAAGAGTTAAATTTTGCTAGAATAATTATAGAAAAATTATTAAAGCTTATTTGTTGTTGGTTTGTTATTGGTATTAGAATAAAAATTTGGGATAAATAATTAGTATAATTTAATTTGTAAATGTTATTGAATATGTTCAATGCTATATTTTTTTAATTAATAGGTATAAACATTTAGCCTTATTGACATGTATTCTACTAAAAATTAGGTTACTTTTAGTTTTCTAGTTTTAATTTTCAAACAAGTTTTGTGATAGTATGACTAATAGTGATCAATAAGGAAGACGATTATCATCGCTTGGCTACCGCAAACGTGACTATTCTAGGACCGCCCTTTCTATCCCTAATATTCTCATTCATGTAACAATGTAATTGAAAAATTATTTGATTTTCCGTAATCTATGAGACACTAGGATATTTATATCTATAGAAGTGCAGCGACACTGACGCATGCTCCACCGGTTCTGTCTCAACAACATTTTAATCGGCATCGTCATTTAAGTGATGCAGGAGTCTTCCACGCTCGTTCACAGAAAATAAGTAAATTAAACTCACGTTATGTTGAGGAGTTAGTTCACCAATAAAAGCAGTAATCACTGCAATTAAACAATAGCACCAAAAAAATTAATAAACGTAAAAACTAATAATTTCTAAAATCTATAGGACTATAGATCAAAAATGACTGACGGATGAAATGCTTCCGGTTGGCGACATCTATTACACTCTATATGCAACTTATTATCAATGGCACAGAAAATGTTTGACAATTGACTAGACACTTTTAAAAACATAGAACTAGGTATTTTACGGGAAAGTAAACCTGTGTTTTTCTTTAAATCTGAGAAAGTTCAGAGAAGTTTATGGTTTGTTAAAAATGTTTTGTCTGCTTTTATAATCTTTTTCGCGCAGACGGCTGTCAAATGTCAATGTCAATAACTGTCAAAATATTTGAACTTTATTTTTTATGCATTTTTATAGTAAAAGCAACAACGAAATAAAATGACTTGATAATTTATGTTAATACCTTATACGCTAATGTTTTCAAATCAATATGATTGTTAGTATATTTGCTCTCTTTACCTGGGGTTGAGGTTTTTATATGTATTACAATAATCATTTTCAGAAATTACGACTGCACAGGTTTATGCCAATATTTTGGAGACATCACAGATATAATTTTATGTGCACAAATGAATCACAAGTTGACTATGAAAAAGAAATTGAAATTAAACGAATTAAGGAGAATGTAAGTAAAAATATAAGCAATTATATTATGTTGCAAAACTTCTGTGTTCTTGAGTTTAATTTACCGCTTGCTACATGTTAATATCCGATATATCCACACAGTTGTAAATAAGTTTCTCACTAGATGGATCAGATTTTTTATCCGGCTGAGTACATTGTGTAAAAAAAGCTATGCTTTAGGAAAAATATCAATGGTAGGCCGTAGCAGTACTATAAAATCTAAAAATTTTTCAACATTAAATGTCGCTATTTTTACTTTTTAAAATGTGCAACAAATGTTCCTCATTGGTTAAATAATCAAGTGATATTAAAGATATGTAAAAATATGTTTTTTAAAGGAAAACAATGAATTAGTGTAGGTTTATAAAATACAATAGAATCTGCTACGGCCTTAAGGTTATGACAGTAGATTTTGTAATTTGATGGCCTGAAGGCTGTTGAATATTATTGCCATGGTATTGGCAACATTGGGTGCTAGGGAGAATCCATAAACAATTTTATATTTTTTCAGGCATCATTAGATGAGCCACCCACTGCATGCTGCCAGTCTGGATGTGCAAACTGTGTGTTTATAGTGTGGGCAGAGGCATTGACTTCAAAAATGGAAAATGCAGGGCCAGAGATTATAGAGAAGATAATGAATACAGTTGATGATCCATCTATGAAAGCTTATCTAGAAATGGAGTTAAGAATAAGAGGATTGAAAAAATAAAAACACTAATGTTTTGATTATTTGTTTATTATTGTGAATTGTTATCATCATAAAGCACAAAATTGTATTGTAAAGATAGTATAGTATTAACTAAGAACAGTCAAGTTAAAAAATAAAATAAATTGTGAATATGTAAATAGTTGTAGTATACTTAAATATCTGTTGAATTTATATTACATAAATATAATTCAAAATACCCAAGTGTTTTTTCATTTTTAATAAATTCAAGTGAGGAGTAAAATTAATACAAATTAAATTTCGCTCTTGTTTATATCAACGATCTGACGACGACGAAGTCTGGAAACTAGCAGTTGATGGAAAAAACAGTCGTTTTTTTATGAAGTATAAACTAGCATTTGACCATGATCCTACCTGATTTTAATTATTTATTCATCATCCACTTGCCCTTATCCCTTACGGAGGGTCGGCACAATATGTGCTGCCCTTCCATACATCTCTTATCAGCCGGCATATCTGAATCCAGTCCTTTCTTAAGCAAATCCTCTTTCACACTATCCATCCATACTTTCTTCGGTCTTCCTCTAGCTTGGTAGCCATCCACATTCAATCTTAACACTTTCTGGTTTATCTCCCCATTGTTTCGTAATGTTAATGATTTATTAACTACTGCAATACACAATTTTTAATTTAGTTCCTCCCTTTGGGTGGCTCCACTTTTGGACCGTCGATCTGCTAATGTCGATGTTTTTACAAATAATCGTAATTTTTCGGCCTCCTAAAGGTCGTTTTTGGTAATACATTACTATCACGTTGCGATATAAAGGAGAAAAAATGTTTTAATTAAATCACAAAATTGCTTCTTGGATGTCATAAATCGTCACCAATCTCGTTTATGTTTGGTTTTATTGGAAAATTGGAAAAATGTGTGCACCGTTGGGTAGATCGGCCCGACATTCAATGGGCGATGAGGCTAACGGGAAACGACCTTTTATAATACTTTTTTGCCTCATAAAATGTTTAATGCTAGATTTCGCAGATCTGAATCCAGAAAGTAGTAAAAACGAATGAGGCAATCAATAAAAATGGTATCTATGTACCTATTTACAAACGTAAAGCTGGTCAATGTGTAGGGGTTTTAACACATTTATGAAAACAATTCCACACAAGAATGATTTTTGCAATAAAAAAGTACTACATTTTGTGAAGTAATGTATTACCAGGGAAAATTTATATTCCTTTTAAATTAAATCCTCTGTTATTATTCAGAGTATTATGAAAGCAATAACATAGACTTTGTTCCATTTGAAATTAGTCTAGACAATATTATTACGAATGCGTAATATGAGATAGCAAATAGCCCAACAATGGAGCTGTATAAAGAACACTTTTTACCTAAATATTTGGTGAAAGATTTAACTTTGAAACACAAATATGACCTTTGTTATTTGCGTACAATCGAGGAATCTGTATGTTGTTCCTTAAATCTACAGTCTTAACGTTTTGTACGCATTGAGATGGCGACACAAAACAATAGAATGCAGCTTATAATCTACAATAACAGATTAATTAGTGATTAGTGTAGTGATACACGGCTTTCTTTTCATTATTATCCCGCTTTTTGCAACTCACTGGTACCTAGTTGGTTATTTGTAAGAAAGAGACGGAGTTTGTCTTATTGCATTGAAATGAGGTATTTTTTTTGGAATCAGAATACAGTGGAGTTCTGCGAATGTACATTGTTCATAATAAACAGTTGCAAATGGTAACACTTGAGTTGTTTTATTTTCTTTTCAAAGTCGCACAGAGATAATTAACGTTTGAATAAAATTACTTAAATCTCGTATATCGAAGGTTTGCCATTGAAGTTATATTTTGCATGTATGAAATACATTTCAACTAAACGAACGTCATTATAATGAACTAGCTTTGGCCCGCGACTCCGTTCGCGTGGAATAAAAAAATTGAATTCATGTGTTCTTCCAGACTATCCTCTACATCTATACCAAATTTCATCGAAATCCGTTCAGCCGTTTAGGTTACAAACTCGTAACAAACATCGATCCATTCATCTAATATTTCACATTTATACTATTAGTATGAAGTATGATAAAACGACATATATGTTACCCTGTCACATCACAATAAAATGTTGGGAAACATCTGGAACTTCACAGGTATTTTCATTACTTGAGGATAAAATACGTTTTCCTTGTGTTCATCATGTTGTTTTTTTTTTTCCTAACTTTATTAAAGTAAAACACAAGAACATCTTCTGTAAATGATAATTCTTCAGAATTTTTTTACGTTGACATACCTTTATAAGTTACTTTGCCTTTGAATTCAACGCAAATATATTCAAATTGAAGGGTCCATTGCATAAGAGTCAAACAAGTCCCACGTGTCAATTTTACATTGAAATTATATCCCTGTTCTTTGTGTGTTAAGCAAATCTACATCTGAACCAATATTATAAAGATAAAATATTTGTATTTATGGATTTTTGCACCTATTAAAAGGACTCAAAAACTACTAAGCCGATTTAAAAAAATTTCTAAACATTAAAAAGCTGCGATGTCAGTGAGTAACATAGTTGTTTTTAATTTCACGCAGGCGATGTCATCATCATCACCAGCTCACTATACGTCCCCACCGAGGGGCTCGGAGCCTACCCTAATAAGGGGTGACTAGGCCATAGTCAACCACGCTGGCCCACTGCGGGTTGGTTGACTTCACACATATCTTTGAATTTCTTCGCCGATATGTGCAGGTTGCATCACGATGTTTTCCTTCACCGTAAGAACGTCGGGTAAATTATGTACATATGAAAATTCGAAAAATCGAAAATCACATTGGTACGGCGGGATTCGAACCCAAGACCTGTAGATAACAAGTCAAGTGTTTAAACCACTGAGCCACCGACGCTCTTAGACGCAGGCGATGTCGCGAGCTAACGAGTTAATGTCGGTGTAGTAATTCATGTTTCACTTCATCACAGTTTCAAAATCTATCAAACACTCGTTTTATACGTAAACTATGTAATAAAATAAAAGTAATCTAATTGCCATTTTACCAACCTCCCCATAAAAAGGCATTCTAGCTTTGCATTATTTACCCGTAATAAGAATTTTCGTTCTCTCCAATGTTACAATGTCATCAAAGTATACAAATTTTGCTTTAAATCAAAGAGACGCTTAAGAGTACCATAGAGGCTAGACATTTTCCTTGTTACATCTATGAAAATAATTTAGCTTTAAAATATATCTCTAAAATTCGTTTTAAATTCCAATTGAATAGAACATATTCCAATATACACGTCGAGTACGTACTTTATTTTTACGTAACAAGCGAGTATGGAATCCGTTTTTACAAGTCCTCGACGTTTAACAAGCGAGTAACTATTCGAGTTTGAATTTGCGAATGTGAATAGAAAATTCGACTTTCTATATTACCTTAGAAAAGTCTTGACCACATTATAGTTGCTAGGTAACCACACACTTCCAGTTATCCGGTATATTTTTAGATTACTCTTGGATTGTATAGAGAGGAATTTATTTAAGCTATCTTTCCTCAAACAGCTGTAGTAAAATATAAATAAATCGCTTCGGATTATTGAGGATTTGGCTACAATTAGGTCGGTAAATAGATTATCAACCAATTATCCTGAATTACGTTAATGTAAGAGTTCACCGAAATTGATAGAAAAGCGTCAACTGTACACGTGCACCAAAAAGTACTTCAAAACTATTCTCATTAAAATTTACACGCGCTGAATTCTGATGCTCGAATGTGTTAACATGCATGAGGCCAGTATATCAGATAAGCTAACATTTTGAAATTACATTGTTCTATTTCTTATTTATATCTATACAATAAATTATCTGTACGTAATAAAAAAACAATTTCGTGAACGTATATTTGAGGTTATTACAAAGAACAACTACTTTCTCTGTCTATTCTAAAATCCGTGTTTGTTCTAGGTAAGCTCTGAAACGGCTGATCCGATTTTGACGGGAGATTTAATGGAAGGTAGCCGTTGTTTGTGGGAGTAACATACGAGTTAGCTGTTTTGTTCCATTCTGAAAATGTTGCGGTTTACGACTAGTTTCAACGAACGTTTATTTTAATTTCATTAACCAACCAGCTGTTGGTCGTGATTTCACCCGCATAAATTTAAAAAGTAATAAGAAATGTATGCCTATCAGTGGTATATGTAATATATGTCTAACAGTGAATGTTTAAAATCGGCTCAGTAGTTTTTACGTGAATACATACAAAAATACAAATCTCTTTTATTTATAATATTTGTACAGATTTTTAAAAACATCTACTATTTACTGTACATGAAGAGTAATAAATGATTTGTGTATACATGTACCATGTTACCACTGTAATAAAACTGTAAATATTTCCATCCTTTGTCAGATGCTTCGTCTTTCGTTTGGCAAGTTAATAACTAAACAAAAATGTTTAGTTACTTAAGTCATATAAGTTGTTCGTTACAGTGTATTTTAGAAGTATTGCGAAGTAAACTTAAATCCCAGGTGTAGGGCACTCAATCACTAAGCTTGTCACTTACAATTCAATTTAATCAAATTTTCTCTCGGAAGCTAAATTTAACAAAGTGGGTGTAAAGATTTGCTTTAAATTATTTTTACACCAGCAAAGATTATGACATCGTAGGCGGTTACCCGTGTAATTGATTTTATATAGTTTGATGAATTTTCTTTGTATTCTTCGCAAATAATATTCAGATTAGAGTAGTGTAAGCGGGCGCACATCTTGACTTAACTATCGTGCGATAGTGTGTAAATGAAAGAATTTAAAAAATCGGTCTAGTAGTTTTTGCGTGAATCAAATATATCTAAAAATCTTCTTTCTTCTTTACAATATCAGTAAAGAGTATAGATATACGAGTAGATAGGAAATAAAGCGCTCTTAATAAGCAAAAAAAAATTAAATAAACTCCTATTTTTATATTTCATTTTCAATTTCCGATCTTTCAAGCGCTTGGAGATATTGAAAGTAGCGAAGACGACTGATGTAAACTTTCATATTAA